TTTTTGTTCTAGCTTGTAACCCTGTTCTGCATGTGTGTGTCAGGGTTTCTTCGGGACTTGTGTGAATTGCTTCTGTACCTGTTACTACCTCCTGGAGACTTCCACAATAAGAATATGAGATACTTCCTAAGGGTGAGTGCATGAAAAAAAACTAGTGTGAGGTGCAAATAAGAGATAAAAAATGCATATGTATGCCATTAACCAGTGTTTTTTTTATTCATCACAAAAAAGCCACATGCCAATTGCTGCCATGTTGGTTGCCAGGCCGCCACGGCATCCCCCTGAATGTGCTGTGCAGTAACATGTTTGTAGTGTAAATTACAGCGAGCATGCCTGGAAATACACTGTGGTGTGTTTTTTAGGAGGTGCTAGCGCGTGGTGTGCTGCTTCCTTTGATCAACCAGCTGAGTGACCCAGACTACATCAACCAGTTTGTCATATGGATGGTGAGGTTTAACACCCCCCCAAACTGTCCAAGAAACAGTTTAATTTAAGGGTTGGGAGACCAAATGTGATTTGGTGCTGGTGTTTGTAGCTGTATGTCCTGTTTTATGTGTAGATCCGGGATAACAGCTGTAACTATGAAGCCTTCATGAACATCCTGAAGTTAACAGATAAGCCTGCTGAGCTGGAGGCCGTTAGAGACAAGGTGCTGGAGGAGCTGCAGTTTCTCCGCTCCCTGGACACTGCTGGAGACGGTGGGCGCTCGCTTTTTTCCTTCCATTTGCATCAGACACACACTCAAAACTGATTGTTTTCATTCACTAACTACAGAATGTTAATTGAAACAGCACACTGCTTTCCTCTTCTGCCCTGATGGCTTTTTGTTTCTCTGTCCTTCAGACATTAACGTGATCAAGAACCAGATCAACAGTCTTCTGTTTGTGAAGAAGGTGTGTGAGACCAGGATCCAGAGACTGCAGTCTGGCAAGGTGAGAAACTGCAGGGGAGTAAACATGCATCGCACAGCCTTGTCTGCACAGCTGTCAGCTGGTTTTGCTCAAAGTCCGCGTTGGTTATGTTAATGTTTTGCTCTCTTCTTCTTTACTTATTCGGCTCCTGTGTTGTGTAGGAGGTTGATGCCTTTAAGCTGGCAGCCAACTTTGGAAAGCTGTGTGTCATCCCGCTGGATCACATCCTCGTCCACAACATAGCCCTGCAGTTCTTCATGGGTAAGTGCATCAACACCTCACGTATCACATAGACGCCAAAGGTCACTGTAGTTATAACTCTGAACTTTTCTGTTAATCATATGTTTTTTAAAGCCCTAACACATGAATGTTAGGGCTTTAGTGTATGACTCCAGCCTCTGTTTTTTTTAGACATGCTCTTTTGCTGTCGCTTATGTCGGTGTGAGAATCTTAAAAGTTTGGAGAATTCCCATTAGCCTAAACATAATGACAAAAACAATACAATACAATACAACTTTATTTATAGAGGACATTTAAAAACCAACGATGTACCAAAGTGCTTCACATAAAAGAAAATAAAACATAAATACTATAAGACCATACCAAAGTACCAAATGTGCTAACAGGTCAATGTCACTAACACACAAGAATAGCATAAAATGCATATCAAGTAAAAACATGTTAAAAGCACAAAGCCATAAAAGATATGTATAAAAGGGAAAATAGAGTAAGTGTAGGAATCAGATACAGGCATTAATGAGCAGGAAAGGCAAGGTTAAATAAAAAGGTTTTTAACTGTGATTTAAATGATTGGATAGAATCAGATGCGCGGATGGCAATAGGAAGGTTATTCCACAAATTGGGTGCAGCCAAGGCAAATGCACGGTCACCTCTAGACTAGGGATGGGTACCGGTATCCGGTTCTGACATAAACGGTA